TCGACCGTGGCCGTGGTGCCCCCGCCCCTGCGCGAGCTGGGCCCTGGCGGCGTCCCCCAGTGGGCTGGGTCTGCGTTCACCTCGCACCCTCAGAGCCCGCCTGTGCCAGTGCCGCTCGCTGGCTTCGTCCCTGTCTAGTGCCAGCAGAGGTGCCTCTGTGGCCACCATGCCCTGTGGCGTGGCACCCACAGGCCTTTTAACTTGTCCTGGCAGTGCCTTTCCCGGGGACACCTGGCTGGTGTTTGCCTCTCACTGCTTCATTGCTCCAGGGGCCTGATGTATCCCCATCATCTTTTTTTCTGTCACTTGCAGCTGATTAGCCCCACCGGTGACAGCAAGTGTTCTTGGCTGGGAGAAGCAGGGCAGTGCTCCCGGTCCCTGTCTGGTGGTCACGAACTCTGCTGTCTGCTTGGTCCAGCTCCTTATGAAAAGCTCCGGTCCTTGCAGATGTTCTGTGCTTCTGTTGTGAGAGCCCCTGCGCCTCTGTCAGGGCAGCCCCCAGATATACGCGTAGCCCTGCCCTGAGGGCTCCTGTCTATGACATCTTTGTAATAGAAATAGATCTTCCCAGTTTTCTGTTTCCTGTTGATTTTATTGCCTGATTTGATTCCCCACGCCCATCCTCCATCTTATCTATGTCTTTTTTGCCCTTTCCATTCTTCTTCCTGCTATGCATCCTTGAATACTTGTCTGTTTTAGGCAGTCACTAACTGCTCGTTCCAAAATTTTAATTTTCTTCTCCAAATTGTGTCACTAAGGACTCTAATCACACCAGTCTTCTGAGGCTGTTATAACCAGGTTAAAGCCCATGCTCTGGACTACATTTGTGCTCAGGTGAAAGCGCTAGGTCAGTCCTAATTGTGATGGTGCTTGGATTTACCTGCACAGGTGGTTGTTAAACCTCACTGTTTCATAGTGCAGACGATCTTAATGTAAGGAATTGATGCTTGAAGTTGGTAGGTACAGTATGCTGAGCAGTAGAAAGTGAGATGACCACCCACCACCCTTGTAAGTTGCATAGTGCTGTTGGACTGTGCACTTCTGTGTTCACTCGCATATCCTTGTGAACGCACGGATGGGCTCATATTGTGAATGTGTAGCTTTTAAATGAGTGCAAATAAAGATTGAGCTACAGCCTGAACACTGAATTCTCTCCAGGCTTAGTGTCAGATAAGTCTAGGCTCTTAGTATGACTCTTCATGGTCCAGGTTCCATTATTCTGTATTTGAATCCCCATCCTAGAGGGGTTAGAGTTCAGCCAAATTTTTCATATTTGTACTCTGCAGTAAATTCCTAATATTTCTTGTTGCATTTAGCCTAGCGGTTAATAATGATAATGACAGTCAATGCATTGTTTCCTGGGTTATAGGTGGAACTTGGATATATTTTTTCACTGTTTTCTTCCTGATCTGGCTCTTTATGCTGGGGATTTGTCCACTGTATGTTGTTTGAGATGCCAGCACTTTCCTAGCGTAGTAGAGTAGATGGCCAAGCTATCGCATCTGTCTGAATTGCTCTGGCTTGATTAGTTCATTTATATGTTTGGTCTTTCCAGAGGACTGGTCTTTTACTGTAACCTGTATACTAGCTGTAAGCATCATAGTTCTCTTCCATTAGGATCAAAACAGTAGAAGTTTCCCTTCCTCATCTGATCTGAAATCTGTGCAGATAAATGGTATTTACAGTCCCACCCTCTTCTGCACCCTTTCCACAAGCACAATGAAGAGGGAGTGCCACAGCAAGATACGCCTTGATCTGCCTCAGGCTGCTGGCCCTGTCCAGGTCCCATGCAGCTGAAACAGTAGAGGCTTTCAGCAGGTTCTGCTAGCTAATGGGGTAGCTTTGTAAAAGTGACAAAATCACAGGGGAGAAAAGGACAAGGACAACAGATAGGAGGCCTGGTGGGAGTGCTGCTGCTGCTTATGAACTTAGGAAATCCAGAGGGGGGTTTCTTTTTAACATTATTACAAGAATGTGCTTAGGAGCTATTATACCTGCAGAAGCTGCAGGCTGGGCTTGCAGCCCTCAACAGCAAAGTACCTGCACATGTAACTTGTTTGTTTTGGCTCTGCCTGGCAGATTTAAAAAAAAAAAAAAAAAAAAGAGGGCAGTGTTACTAGGCTCTCATTCGCGCTTCAGCTTTGCAGACCGAGCTTTTGGCCAGTGTCAGTTTCCTGTAGAATGGCAGTGCTGAGGATTGCACTTCAACTTAGAGCTTCACAAACACTGACTCTGGGCTCACTTCTCCCCTTCGCATCTTTGGCTTTAGTGCAGCTTGCAAAGTCAAAGAAGCAGCAGCATAGTCCAGAACTTTCTTGGGGACTTAATATCTTTGGTATTTATGTAGAAGCAGAGATGGGGCTTGCAGTCTGGATTCTAATCTGCTTTGCATATAGTCCATAAGGGTCTTAAATATCTACAGAATAATGAGATTTAGTTGAATAAAGAAAAATAAGATGTTTGCTACTCTGTTTGGAAGAAAAGAATTTGAAATGTAATTGAGTGCTTATCCTTTTTATTTCTATGCTTTGCACGTGCAGGGGCTGGTAAGTGACACTTAAATCGATCTTTGGGGTGATATTTTTTTAAAGTATCATTTTAGCATATTAGTCAAAAAACATATTGCTGAAACCCTCCCCCCTTAGGTTATACCTGCATAAAATGCCATGGTTGTAATACATTGTAAGAAAAATTTAGTGTTGAAACCGGGAATGGCCTGTGACTGCAAGGCATGCACAATATTTATGCAATTGCATCCAAAAGTACTACCCGGCTCTTGTGTCCTCCTGGAGCCTAGGCCAGAAGAATAATTTGCATGAACCTCCATATAAATACAAGAAGAACTTACTCTTAAGCTGTGATGCTAACTATTATGCAGCTGCTTACAAAATAGTTCCCTGTTTTCTGAGGGTCTTGCTTGATGAGATTGGGGCATAGGCCTATGGAGGCACTTATTTGTATACTAATAGGATAAGGGTTGTATATTCTTCTTACACAGTACATGTACAGCTTTGTGTCAGGGATGGCATGTGGTAGTTGCATGCCCATCTCCTGGATCCTGCAGTGCTGGGCATATTGATCAATTTATTTTCCAATCAACTTGTTTCAGAGCGAGCGGGAGAAGCAGGAGAGAATTGAAGTTCAAAAGGAAAAGCAGCGAGAGCTGATTCTGCAGCTCAAGACGCAGTTGGATGACTTGGAGACCTTTGCTTACCAAGAGGGCAGTTATGATTCACTGCCACAGTCTGTGGTCATGGAAAGACAGCAGGTAAGTCCTCTAACTCTTTCTGCCCATGCCAATCTTTTCTCCTTGGCGTGCATGAGCCTCTGATGTGGCCAGCCCTTAACTTGCCAACTATAAAACAACTGTTGTGGATGCATTAGTTTTTCTGCATGCTTGTATGTAATCTATAGGGACTACTTGTATGTACCGTATACCCATTAATTTGCCACTCCAAAGGGAATGCAGATAATGGTGAATTGTCCAGCGGTGGCAATTATTAGATGATAACGGCAGCAGCAGGTCGGTGTTGGTGGAGAATCAGAACAACAGTTAATTAACCCATAGCAGGAAATAACTGTATTTTCCAATGTATAAAACACAGTTATTTCTGTAAAGAAGAGGTCTAAAAGTAAGATGCAACTTTATACATTGAAGTTGCAGAACAAAAATAATTGAAATTGGGTACTAGTAGTTTGAAGATGACTCTAATCTTGTCTTGGTAGTCAGCCCCTGGGTACAACAGAACCCCAAGATACCAATGCGAAATGGCAGGTTCAGCTAGGAAAAAGTGAGGGGAAGGGGTGTGTGTAACATTATCCACCTCTACATGTCATGTGCCTCCAGTGCATTAGAGGGGGTGGGTCCTATCATGCTGTTACATTGTCTCAGGGAGAAGGTGTGGAAGACCCACCTTCCCTTTGTCCCTTCCAGACTGACCCCTGCAGATCACCATCAGTCCATCCCTTTGGAAATGTTGTATTGTGGTTCCTTCTCTCTTTCTCGTGGTCTGGGGAAAGCTACGTTTGTAGGATCAGGACCCACAGGCCATTCCCATTTTTGTGTTCTCTGACTCCCTGCCAGCCTCCCTATCTTGTGGATGCAGCCTTTTCTAGCAGGTGCTATCAGGGCAGGGCCTCCCTGGTGGCCTACTGCATTGTCACATTTTGTTGTAGAATTTTTCCATAACTTTGTACTGGAGGGGGGCGTGTTTTGCACACCCAGACAATACAGTATCCTGTGGGCAAATTAACCAGAGTTTATTGTATGGTTAGTCATTATAGCATAGACTGGAATAATCTCCCCCTTCCCTCTTCCCCTCCCCAAAGAAGTGTGTGTGTGTGAACACAGCATTCTGGTTCCCCAGGATGCATGGTGAGACTGTGCAGTTCACTGCCTGCTGTGATTTGCAGGTGATTATAGATGAGTTGATAAAGAAGTTGGATATGAACCTGAATGAGGATATTGCATCGTTGTCCCCGGATGAGCTGCGTCACCGGGTGGATGCTGCTATTGCACAGATTGTCAATCCAGCAAGGGTGAAGGAGCAACTAGTGGAACAGCTTAAGACGCAAATACGGGACCTTGAGATGTTCATCAACTTCATTCAGGGTCAGTGGCATGTTTTGCATGGGCAAGTGAATGAATTGCCCCATATCGGGGCACAGCTTGGCTTGAGGTGGGGAGGAGGAGTACAACAGACCTAATTGCAACAGAATCTGGACTTCTAGGTCACACAGAGCACCCCAGACCTCTGTGTGAGAGGAGACTGCACAGGGAGAACCTAGGACACTTGACAGGCAGGTCGGTCCCCTCTGCACAAAGTGGTATACGGCAATCATAACGTCTGTAGCTTAGGATACGTAGCTTAAATCTTACAGCAGATGTAGAGGGGCAAAATAACCAGCTGTAGTGGATTCTTTGTTTTAGATGAAGTTGGAAGTCCTGGCACGCTAGAAGATGGACACTGTGAATGCTCAGGCAAGACACCTGCAAGTAGCTCCTATAAACCAAATAGCAGGCTGCCTCCTGGGAATAACAGAGGTAAGCATTTTATAGACTTTAGACTCCTCTGGGTTTGTTTTGGGGGTTTTTTTTTTTTTTTTATGGCTATTCAGGTGACAGCTGGCTGCTTTCCCCTGTTAGTGATGGTTTCCCTTCCTTTTCACTGACCCAGACAAAATGTTAAAATGCTTTCTCAGTGGGGTACTCATGGAAATGAGGGTCTTTTGATAACAAGCCAGCAGTACACAATGCAAGCAGGTGCTGTGCAGTCTTCTCTCGTGCTGTAGCCTTGGTCTGCACTACAACTACTGTTCAGGTTCAGGAGTCCTCATCAGCAGAGACCACTGGCTGGGTGGAGTTAAATCCTTTGAGATTGGGATTTAGCCACTTATTGAAACTCATGTATTGAAAAACTTACTGGAACTTATGACATGAACTTTATTGGATCTCAGGTTCTGGGGTAAGCAAGCCAGCTAACCCTGAGACTACTCAGTCCTTGAAAATAACTAGAAATCTCTCACAGAAAGCTCCTGTCACCTTGACATTGCTCACCTGATACTATAGAATCTGCAGTGCCCTTTTATCCTGACTAGATCCCTCTACCTTGAGGGGTCTTTGGCCACTGGTGCTTGTTTGGTGAGCAGTCATAGTAGGGATCCTTCTCTGCCATGTGATTTAAGACCGACATTGCAGTTTGAGAATGGGGCACAGTTTGATGCTGTGTTCTCCAGATTGTATGAGCACTGTAAAGTTCTAGCTTACTTGAACAAAGCAGAATCATTTACCCAGCCAGAAACCCTGGAGTAGAAGCCCAGTAGTAATGTAGGTGTGGGTGGTTCAGCTCCCTGTAGGTATGCAAACAGAGAGAAATCAGATTCTCTAATGACATCACTTTTTTTTTTTTTTTTTCCCCTCTAACTGACCAGTGCACCCAGAGGACGCCAGAAAGATGAGAGAAACAGGTCTGCATCTCATGCGGCGCATGCTTGCTGTGCTGCAGATATTTGCTGTCAGTCAGTTTGGTTGTGCTACAGGTCAGATACCCCGCACCCTCTGGCAGAAGGACCAAGCTAATAAAGACTATTCCCCTTTAATTAAGAGACTGGAGCTGTCTGTAGACAAAGTGAAGCAGTTGATATTGAAGCACCAGCAGCAGAACCATGTTGTCAGCTACTCCAGCATGCAGGATGTTCCCTTAGGAGGGCGAGATGAGCTGACTCTGGCTGTGCGGAAGGAGCTGACCATTGCTTTACGAGACCTTATGGCTCATGGGCTCTATGCTTCTTCTCAAGGGATGAGCTTGGTGTTGGCACCCATTGCGTGTTTGATTCCTGCCTTTACCTCATCACCACAGACCATGCACCCATGGGAGCTCTTTGTTAAGTATTACAATACCAAGAATGGTCGCGCCTTTGTGGAGTCCCCAGCTCGCAAACTCTCCCAGTCCTTTGCCCTGCCTGTGACAGGAGGTGTTGCTGTGACCCCCAAGCAGAGCCTGCTGACGGCTGTTCACACTGTTCTCACGGAACATGATCCCTTCAAACGCAGTGCAGACTCTGAACTGAAGGCCTTGGTGTGTATGGCTTTAAATGAGCAGCGCCTGGTGTCCTGGGTGAACCTCATCTGCAAATCTGGGGTTCTGATACAGTCTCACTATCAGCCCTGGAGCTACATGGCCAACACAGGCTTTGAGAGTGCACTCAATATTCTCAGTCGCCTGAGCAACTCAAAGTTCAACCTCCCTGTGGATTTGGCTGTCCGGCAGCTGAAAAACATCAAAGATGCTTTTTGACATGTCCTTTGCAGATCAGCCCCCACCTCCTCTTAGTAGGCAGCTATTGATCTCAAGGAGCTTTTTCTTAAGACCAAGCTTGGTTCATTTGAGGATGATCTTAAATTTTACTTGAGTGTCTCAAGTACTTGAATGTCTCAACACTGGAAACCTTCACTGCTCGAATGCCTGTGAGGAAATGCTGCAGGCTTTTAGGTTGAGCACCCAACCCCTCAGGCCTATGCTCATGCAGCTCTTAAGTCAGTGAAGCTGCTACAGCCATTTGCAGAGGCCCTACCACTATCATGTGGTAGAAGTGAGGAGCTGCCTGAAATGTAATAAACAAGAGCCTGATTATACAGCCAGTACATAGGAGCAGTTTCCTTTTTTTTTTTTTCCAGAAGCAACACCTATGCAGCACCTGCACAGTGAGCCCTCACAATTTTTAGACTAAAGCGGGGGTTTTCAACCTTTTTGGATCAGTGTACCCCCGGTGGCTGGATGCAGAGTAGTGTACCCCTGGCGGCAACACAGGGCGGGGATGGGGAGCGTGGCACGTGGCCAGATGTGGAGTAGGGGCAACCATTGCGTGCAAGCTTCCCCCACCTCCCATGTCCTGCCGGGCGGTGCCTGCACAGCAGTACAGGATGGTGCATAGTGGCATTCCATCCCCACCGGCCAGCATGTACCCCTGGGGGTACACTTACCCCTGGTTGACAACCCCTGGACTAAAAGATACCATTTGTAGCATTTTGCTATTCAGTGCAGGGGGAAGGAGGTAGTGAAATAGTTTTAACAAATACCTTGTTGCACTTGATGCAACCTGGACTGACATCCCATCTCCTCTATTTATGTATAGTATTGATTAAATGTATAAGAGGTCTGGGCCGACATGGTTACTTGGGTAAATGTGATATCTTTTATTAGACAAACTGAATGGTTGGAAAAATTGTTTTTTGCAAGCTTTCAGGCACAGGTGCCCTTCAGGCATAGGGAGAGCCTGCTGGTCTTCTCTCTAGGATCTGAATAGAAGCTTAAGCCAGTACTCAAAATGCAAGTCTGTAAAAATGCAGGTGCATAGCTGAGAAGATCAGAGGGGAGGGGGTTGGGCAACAGAAAGGGAATGCCAACAGATGATAAAATGCAGCTGGGAAAATATAGAGAGCTTACTTGGGGTTATTGGGTGGCAGGCAGGTTATAATGTGCCATAAATTCAATGTCTACATTTAGTGCATTATTTTTTGCATCCAGTAGATTTACCAAGTGAAGTTCGTAGGCTTGTCTATGAAAAGTGCTTTATAAATTCCATTTGAGTATTGGAGAAAGAGTGGCTATCTTATGAGAAATGTGCACCCACAGATAGTTGGGTATTTTTGTCTTTTACAGATTCTTGGTGTGTGTTCATTCTGGTATGCAGTTGTTCGGTTTCTTTTATGTAGCTTCCATCTGGGCATTTAATGCACTGGATGAGATGTACAGGCAGTCCTTGACTTACAGCGTTTTGAGTTACAATGTTCTGCACTTACAACATTTATAAATTGACACTGTTTCAACTTTCTGACGCCTGTTTCAACTTTACAACACTTGATCTGACTCCAGTGAACAAGTTTGCCGCGTCACTCATCTCCCTGGAGAACATCTGTCCAAACTTCATTGGACACTTTCTTTAAGAAAGCAGACAAGACTCCAGAAAAACCTGTAGCCAAGTCTCCTGAGATGACTCCAGCCAAGAACCCTTCAAAAAGTCCATCCAAGAGCCCTTCAAAACATATCCAGTAAAGTCTCCTCAAAGAAGTCCTTCCAAATCAATATGATTGCTATTTACAATATAAATACATTGATGTAGCTATATTACTTATCTATAATTGATGGAGTACAAAATTCTGGATTATTTTTGGTGAAAATAGGGTATTGGGCCTTGGTTCAGGAGCCAACCCCCATTTATAACATTGTTTCCTATGGGAAAATCAGTTCCGAGTTAAGTTGAAACGTTGTAAGACGTGGTTTTCGGGAACCAATTGTCTTAAACCTGAGGACTGTCTGCATTACATTTCTGGAGGTGCTAGGTGTAGGATCCAGGAATGTTGATGGTTATGCTGTGGGACATAGTTATTGTGGGATCAGTGGAGATGTGTTGGCAGGTTTTACGTTTCTTGTTCTGGCATGGTGTAGATCAGGATGGGCAATTACTTGGGCCTGCAGCCGTTCTGGGTTTGGGGGTTTTTTTTTTTTTTTTATGGCTATTCAGGTGACAGCTGGCTGCTTTCCCCTGTTAGTGATGGTTTCCCTTCCTTTTCACTGACCCAGACAAAATGTTAAAATGCTTTCTCAGTGGGGTACTCATGGAAATGAGGGTCTTTTGATAACAAGCCAGCAGTACACAATGCAAGCAGGTGCTGTGCAGTCTTCTCTCGTGCTGTAGCCTTGGTCTGCACTACAACTACTGTTCAGGTTCAGGAGTCCTCATCAGCAGAGACCACTGGCTGGGTGGAGTTAAATCCTTTGAGATTGGGATTTAGCCACTTATTGAAACTCATGTATTGAAAAACTTACTGGAACTTATGACATGAACTTTATTGGATCTCAGGTTCTGGGGTAAGCAAGCCAGCTAACCCTGAGACTACTCAGTCCTTGAAAATAACTAGAAATCTCTCACAGAAAGCTCCTGTCACCTTGACATTGCTCACCTGATACTATAGAATCTGCAGTGCCCTTTTATCCTGACTAGATCCCTCTACCTTGAGGGGTCTTTGGCCACTGGTGCTTGTTTGGTGAGCAGTCATAGTAGGGATCCTTCTCTGCCATGTGATTTAAGACCGACATTGCAGTTTGAGAATGGGGCACAGTTTGATGCTGTGTTCTCCAGATTGTATGAGCACTGTAAAGTTCTAGCTTACTTGAACAAAGCAGAATCATTTACCCAGCCAGAAACCCTGGAGTAGAAGCCCAGTAGTAATGTAGGTGTGGGTGGTTCAGCTCCCTGTAGGTATGCAAACAGAGAGAAATCAGATTCTCTAATGACATCACTTTTTTTTTTTTTTTTTTCCCCTCTAACTGACCAGTGCACCCAGAGGACGCCAGAAAGATGAGAGAAACAGGTCTGCATCTCATGCGGCGCATGCTTGCTGTGCTGCAGATATTTGCTGTCAGTCAGTTTGGTTGTGCTACAGGTCAGATACCCCGCACCCTCTGGCAGAAGGACCAAGCTAATAAAGACTATTCCCCTTTAATTAAGAGACTGGAGCTGTCTGTAGACAAAGTGAAGCAGTTGATATTGAAGCACCAGCAGCAGAACCATGTTGTCAGCTACTCCAGCATGCAGGATGTTCCCTTAGGAGGGCGAGATGAGCTGACTCTGGCTGTGCGGAAGGAGCTGACCATTGCTTTACGAGACCTTATGGCTCATGGGCTCTATGCTTCTTCTCAAGGGATGAGCTTGGTGTTGGCACCCATTGCGTGTTTGATTCCTGCCTTTACCTCATCACCACAGACCATGCACCCATGGGAGCTCTTTGTTAAGTATTACAATACCAAGAATGGTCGCGCCTTTGTGGAGTCCCCAGCTCGCAAACTCTCCCAGTCCTTTGCCCTGCCTGTGACAGGAGGTGTTGCTGTGACCCCCAAGCAGAGCCTGCTGACGGCTGTTCACACTGTTCTCACGGAACATGATCCCTTCAAACGCAGTGCAGACTCTGAACTGAAGGCCTTGGTGTGTATGGCTTTAAATGAGCAGCGCCTGGTGTCCTGGGTGAACCTCATCTGCAAATCTGGGGTTCTGATACAGTCTCACTATCAGCCCTGGAGCTACATGGCCAACACAGGCTTTGAGAGTGCACTCAATATTCTCAGTCGCCTGAGCAACTCAAAGTTCAACCTCCCTGTGGATTTGGCTGTCCGGCAGCTGAAAAACATCAAAGATGCTTTTTGACATGTCCTTTGCAGATCAGCCCCCACCTCCTCTTAGTAGGCAGCTATTGATCTCAAGGAGCTTTTTCTTAAGACCAAGCTTGGTTCATTTGAGGATGATCTTAAATTTTACTTGAGTGTCTCAAGTACTTGAATGTCTCAACACTGGAAACCTTCACTGCTCGAATGCCTGTGAGGAAATGCTGCAGGCTTTTAGGTTGAGCACCCAACCCCTCAGGCCTATGCTCATGCAGCTCTTAAGTCAGTGAAGCTGCTACAGCCATTTGCAGAGGCCCTACCACTATCATGTGGTAGAAGTGAGGAGCTGCCTGAAATGTAATAAACAAGAGCCTGATTATACAGCCAGTACATAGGAGCAGTTTCCTTTTTTTTTTTTTCCAGAAGCAACACCTATGCAGCACCTGCACAGTGAGCCCTCACAATTTTTAGACTAAAGCGGGGGTTTTCAACCTTTTTGGATCAGTGTACCCCCGGTGGCTGGATGCAGAGTAGTGTACCCCTGGCGGCAACACAGGGCGGGGATGGGGAGCGTGGCACGTGGCCAGATGTGGAGTAGGGGCAACCATTGCGTGCAAGCTTCCCCCACCTCCCATGTCCTGCCGGGCGGTGCCTGCACAGCAGTACAGGATGGTGCATAGTGGCATTCCATCCCCACCGGCCAGCATGTACCCCTGGGGGTACACTTACCCCTGGTTGACAACCCCTGGACTAAAAGATACCATTTGTAGCATTTTGCTATTCAGTGCAGGGGGAAGGAGGTAGTGAAATAGTTTTAACAAATACCTTGTTGCACTTGATGCAACCTGGACTGACATCCCATCTCCTCTATTTATGTATAGTATTGATTAAATGTATAAGAGGTCTGGGCCGACATGGTTACTTGGGTAAATGTGATATCTTTTATTAGACAAACTGAATGGTTGGAAAAATTGTTTTTTGCAAGCTTTCAGGCACAGGTGCCCTTCAGGCATAGGGAGAGCCTGCTGGTCTTCTCTCTAGGATCTGAATAGAAGCTTAAGCCAGTACTCAAAATGCAAGTCTGTAAAAATGCAGGTGCATAGCTGAGAAGATCAGAGGGGAGGGGGTTGGGCAACAGAAAGGGAATGCCAACAGATGATAAAATGCAGCTGGGAAAATATAGAGAGCTTACTTGGGGTTATTGGGTGGCAGGCAGGTTATAATGTGCCATAAATTCAGTGTCTACATTTAGTGCATTATTTTTTGCATCCAGTAGATTTACCAAGTGAAGTTCGTAGGCTTGTCTATGAAAAGTGCTTTATAAATTCCATTTGAGTATTGGAGAAAGAGTGGCTATCTTATGAGAAATGTGCACCCACAGATAGTTGGGTATTTTTGTCTTTTACAGATTCTTGGTGTGTGTTCATTCTGGTATGCAGTTGTTCGGTTTCTTTTATGTAGCTTCCATCTGGGCATTTAATGCACTGGATGAGATGTACAGGCAGTCCTTGACTTACAGCGTTTTGAGTTACAATGTTCTGCACTTACAACATTTATAAATTGACACTGTTTCAACTTTCTGACGCCTGTTTCAACTTTACAACACTTGATCTGACTCCAGTGAACAAGTTTGCCGCGTCACTCATCTCCCTGGAGAACATCTGTCCAAACTTCATTGGACACTTTCTTTAAGAAAGCAGACAAGACTCCAGAAAACCCTGTAGCCAAGTTTCCTGAGATGACTCCAGCCAAGAACCCTTCAAAAAGTCCATCCAAGAGCCCTTCAAAACATATCCAGTAAAGTCTCCTCAAAGAAGTCCTTCCAAATCAATATGATTGCTATTTACAATATAAATACATTGATGTAGCTATATTACTTATCTATAATTGATGGAGTACAAAATTCTGGATTATTTTTGGTGAAAATAGGGTATTGGGCCTTGGTTCAGGAGCCAACCCCCATTTATAACATTGTTTCCTATGGGAAAATCAGTTCCGAGTTAAGTTGAAACGTTGTAAGACGTGGTTTTCGGGAACCAATTGTCTTAAACCTGAGGACTGTCTGCATTACATTTCTGGAGGTGCTAGGTGTAGGATCCAGGAATGTTGATGGTTATGCTGTGGGACATAGTTATTGTGGGATCAGTGGAGATGTGTTGGCAGGTTTTACGTTTCTTGTTCTGGCATGGTGTAGATCAGGATGGGCAATTACTTGGGCCTGCAGCCGTTCTGGTGAGCTGCCATGAGCCAGTCAGCAGCAGCACACGCGCACCGCCCCCCCCGCAACAGCTCAGAGCCTGTATGCCCTACAGCTCCTCCCAGCCACTGCCAACAGCGCACAGCCCCAACCCTGGTCCGCCCTGTGCCCGCTCTGGACCTGACACAACCCAACAGACCAGCTGGAACCTGTGTGCACAGCCCTGACCCCAGCCCATCCTGTGCCTGCTGTGGACCATCCACCCACGCTGAGCCAGTGGCCAGGCACAAGCTGCTGCTGCTCTACAAAGGGCAGGGCGGGGAGTGGCTCCTTCCTCTCACTGCTGCCAGGTCCTTTTTGTTGCAGCTGCCTGGAGGTATGTCACCAATTTACTCAAATTTGGGTCACTCAGTTTACCCCAATTGACCAAATGACATCAGTTACCACCACCCAATGAAGTTGAAAGACCAGCAAAAGCATTGCTTACAGTAACAATGTGGCTCCACTAATACCTCACTTTACCTAAAGCAGAGCCTTTTGACAACTATAGTGGAATGTGGGAAGGGGGAGAACAGGCTGTGGGGGCATACTGCCTCGCAACAGCCCAGAGACCATGTGCTTTGATGCTCCTGGCGACTGCCAACAATGCACAGCCCCAGCCTGCCCCACACCTGCTCCAGACTCTCCCTGGCTGGGGCAGACGAGCTGGAACCCGCACTTACAGCTCTGACTCCAGCCCGCACTGCGCCTACTTTAGACCACCTGCCCATGCTGAGCAGAGGCAGTGGCTAGGCACAAGCTGCTGCTTGATGTGGGCAAAAGCAAGCCCTCCCCCTCACCACTGCTGGGCCCTTTTTGCTGCAGCTACCCAGAGTCCACATCTGGGCTGTCCTGTAGCTTCTTGCTGCCACTGTCACTGCTGTCTCTGGGCCACTCAGTGGGGCAGCGGTACCAGTGCAGAGGTGCTGCAGATCAGCCCTGGTGCAAGCTCTGAGCAGCTGCAGCAAGAAGAGCCCAGCAGCAGTGAAGGCAAGTGTCTGTTTCTGTCCGACCACTGCTGCTGTGGCTGCTGCTCAGCATAGGCAGGTGAGTTTGGAGCAGGTGCAGGGCAGGCTGGGGTCAGGACTGTGCACATGAGTTCCAGTTAGTCCAGAGTTGGTCTGCTGTGCTGGGCCAAGCCTGGAGTGGGTACAAGGCAGGCTGTGGTTGGGGCCAGTCAGTACCATGGGGCTGGGGGCAACAACGGCCGGCCGGGGGGCGGGGCAAACCCCCCCCCCGGCCGTTTAGCCGCTGCTGCCTGGGCTGCCTAGAAAGGCAGTTTAGCTGTGGAGCCACCCTGACCCCACAGCATGTCCAGGGGGTGGTCGGATATGCCATAAGCTGGACAGCACCTGGGTCAGGAGGAGCTGAGAGACCCACCGTGGGCTGGACAAAGTCCTTCCACAAGCCATATTTTGCCCACCTTGGTCTAGACCCATTCAGTGTGCTTTGGGTCATAGGAAGTTTGCTTCTGGTGATGGGTTGCCAAGGTTCAATGCCTGTTTGAAAGCTAGGATTGGTGGTTCTGGAAAGATATTTTTAAGAATTGGGTCTTCTAGCATGGGTTGTAATGGAGGATTTTCTGTATAGGTTGCAGGGGAAGGTGGCATGTCATAACTAATGGTGTGCAATTCTTGGGGATTTTCTTTTTGTACTTCATCAATTCTTTACATGGTATCTGGGTGGTTCTTTCAAAAGTTCGATCTGTGTCTCTGGAGGAGTGTCCTTGTTGAGTGAAAGCCTTTTTGAGATTTGTGTGGTGACAATTGAGAGTGCTTTCGTCAGTGCAAACTCGGTGGTATCAGAGGGCTGAGCTGTATATTACAGCTTTCTTGGTGTATTTAAGGTTGACTGCTGGTTCTGTGTAGATATGTATGTTGGTCCATGTGTTGTATATGGTGGTTTGTATTTCACCATTCTGGATATTGACTGTAGTGTCTAAAAAGGAAATGTTGGTGCTGGAGTATTCCAGAGACAGTCTGATGGAGAGGTGATGATTATTACATTTGTGATGGAAATCAGTTGGAGATTCCAGGTTTTCAGTCCAAATGATAAAGATGTTATCTATATATCTTAGGTGTAGCATAGGTTTGGTGCAGTTCTTGAGGAATTCTTCTTCCAGGTAGCCCATAAAAAGGTTGGCTTATTGTGGGGCCATTTTGGTGCCCATAGCTGTACCCATGGTCTGGAGGGAGTATTGGTTATTGAAAGTGAAGTTGTGTGAGAGAATGAAGTGTATACGTTCAGTAATATCTTTGGGTCTGTACTCTGAGTTGTAATCTTGCTCTTGTAGATATGTAAGGCAGGCTTGGATGCTATCCTGGTGTGAGATGTTGGTATATAAGCTGGTAACATCCATGGTGGCTAGGAGGGTTTTGCTGTGAAGGTGGTTTATATTTTTAAGTTTTCGTAGAAAGTTTGTTGTGTCTTGGACAAAACTTGCTCTTTGGGTGACAAGGTTTTAGGATGGATTCAGTGAAACCAGATATTTCCTCAGTAAGGGTTCCATGGTCGGATATTATTCCATAGTTGGATATTAAGCGGTCTGGGAGTAATTTTTGCTCTAAGACTTGATTGCTGCTGTTCTTGTAGGATTAGTGGCTACAGAAATCCACACAAATACAGGGATGTTCTTCAGGTTCTATGGTGACAGGATCAAGCATTCAGGTATTTTGTATAAGCATCTGAACTCCTCCTTGAAGCCTTGGCTGAATGCCTAGTACACTATTAGTGCAGGGCTTCATAGCAGATGTATCAATTGCTTTAGCCCACGTAAACAATTAATATTTTTTTCAGTTACCATGAGCTAAGTGGCCTATATGATGCAGGAATACTTGTTCACATTGCTTTTTACAAAATTATGATAGGTGTAGAATTTTAATATTCACAGTACAATTGCTGATTATGTTTGGTGATTATGCTGCTGCATAACAGCGCTTTCTGTTTATCTGAGGGTTAAATTACCTTTGGTATAGCTAATTCTGCGCTCAAATTAGTCGGTGTTTTTGAGGGGACTTAATCACTTGGCTTTTAGACTGCATATGAGAAGTCATTCCTATCATCCAAAACAAAAAAAAATGCTGAGGGTAGAGCTTGGGGTGGTCTATTTCAGTGGTTCTCAGCCTGTTTATACCAGGACCCATTTGTAAACATTGATGGCCAGTCCTCACCCAGTACATAGTTTAAGTAGAAAATACCCCCCTGGTCCCTCACTCCCAGTCCACTGCCCCCCACCCTGACCCTCCAGCATGTGGGGACAGGGGGCTCCAAGCAGCCTGTAAGGGTAAGTTTCCCACATTTTTCTCCTTTAAATGAGAATCCAATTTTAAAGTTTGTCTGAGACCTTTTTGTATATTGTTGCGACCCACTTTTGGGTCGTAACTCACGGGTTGAGGAACACTGGTCTATTTTGTACTTGAAGCAGCTGTGTCCTGAACTTCAGGTAGTCGCTTTGTATTTGAAGCTGTAATGTCTCATTTTGACTTCCTGGCAAAAACAGGAATATTCTGCTCTCAAACCAAGGGAAAATAGGAAGGGATTGACAATATCCAGTTGTATACTTAGTAGCTAAAAAGATGCTATCAAGGTAATTCCTTTATTTTCTCCCTTCCCCCACCCCTTGCCAGTTTCTTTCTGTTGTGTACACACTAGTTTGATGCATCAGGCTTGTTATCCTGAACTTTTTTTCTATATAATCACTGAAGTTGTTCTTGTCCTTGATGAAGAAACCTAGAATTACATAGGCTGAAAACAGACTTGGGCCACTGAATATGGGGGGGGGCCTGTCTGCTGTGGGAAGTCCATGACAAATGTGCTGTTAACTTCAGTAGAACTAGACTCTGCCTCCCTTCTCACTCCCCAAATGTATTCTCATAGTTTATGCATGGTTGCAGCAGAGTGAAGATTTATCAACAGCTATAAAGAGGGAGTGGTTTCCTTTACGTAAAAATCAGTAGTTAGTAATACAATCTTCTGTGTGTTTTTATTGATAGTCATATGTGCAGAAATAGTTTACTTAGAATCACAGCTGCTGGTTTTCATTTACGCAAAATAGCTTTCACCTCATTTTCTGAGACATGATAAGGTATGCATCATCAAAACATTGTGTCCAAGGGTATAAAAAATTTCTCTCTGAACAAGCCACACAAATTTGACCCTTTACTTTCTTGGAGAGCAAATTATGGAATTATGATCTAGAAGTAGGTTTTCATTTAAAAATTATTTCCATTGAATGTTCCCATACTTCTGTGGCTTTTAGTCTGAAATCTATGCACACTTTTGTCAAGTTTGTTACTACTGGCTGATCTGCAACTGTCCAAATGTGTGAAGTGTTTGAATGCTAGAAAGGCCTTTTAAATGGTTATAAAAAGCTTGTCTTTGTTCAATTCCCTCTTCCTTTTTGTTTATAGTGCTTCTTCAGGAAAAATTGTTTTGTATCAATTAGCTATTTATCTCCTAGTGTTTGATTTTTGGTTGTGTACATGTGTGCTAGGATGAAGGTATTTGTGGAGAATAGTGGTAGCTAATCCTGAAAATCATAGTGGTTCACGTATCTTGTATGACCTACTTGTATTTTATTTGACGAATTGTTTGTTTGCTGTAGCCTCCTTCTTTCTGGCCCTGAATTGTCAATGAAAGTGCAGAGCTGCTCCCTCTGGTAGTCTGACACATGCATTCTTTATTCCAAGTAAGTGAAGATGCTGGAAACAGGAGGCTAAGCTCTGTTCCAGTAGCGTAATGAAAACAAAGTGAGGAAGATGCCAAGTCTAGAACACTCATTCCCTAGCTCATAGGTGCTGCTTTTTGCAGGTTGGGAGTGGAGCTGGGAGCCCCAACATTGCTTCCTAAATCACTGAGAAAACACCAAGAAAGATCACAGAGGCAGCTATGCATCCAGGCAGCCTGCACCACCCTGCCCCACTGCCATGCTGTCACTAGACTGGAGGCTGCAGCACGGAGAGTGGCTCAAGCTCCCTCCCAGGGGCCGCCGCTGGCCATAGCAAACCAGATCACTTCCCTTGGCACGGCCCAACATACCCCAACCTTGACCCATGCCTCGGTTTGGTGTGCCAGGGGCAGATGGTAGGGGAGCCACAAAGGGCCCGATCCCTGTTGCTGGTGGTATGTGCATGCATGCCTCTGGCTGGACAGCAGGGAAGGGGCCACAGTTGTGCTGCCCCAGCCCCTTCCCCGCGGTATGTCCCAAGGTGCTTGTGCACCCACTACTGGCCATGGAGTCTGGGCTGCTCACAGCAGGCAGACTGCAAACAGCTGCACTCGGGTCCAGAGCCCTGGCCCAGCTCCATGGCCAGTGGTAGCTGCATGCACACCCCAGAGCATGCTACAGGGAAAGGGCTGGGGCAGTGCAGCTGTGGCCTCTCCCTTGCTGTCTGCCTGGAGGTGCACATACACCCACCACCAGCAATGAGCCAAGCCAGGACTCTGCAGACCTTGATGCAGCAGCTTGCAGCCTTCCATCTGCCTACCACAGGTGGCCTGGGCTCTGGTCAGCAGGCAGTGGGGAGGGTGCAAACTGCTGCACTGAGGTCTGTGGAGCCCTGGCCTGGCACATTGCTGGTGGAAGGTGGACACACAACTCGGGGTGGGTAGCAGGGGAGCAGCTGCGCTGCCCCACCCTTACTTGCAGTGTGCCCTGAGGCATGTGTGAAGCCACTACTGACCACAGAGCTGGGCTGGGGCTCCAGACCTCGGTGCATCGGTTGCAGCCTCCCAGCTTTCCACATCTGGCCCAGACTCTGGACAGCAGCTGCTTGCTATAGAACCCCAGGTGCTCACAGCAGAACTTGCAGCCTCTCTACCACCTGCTGTGACCAACCCAGGCTCTGGCAGGTGGCAGCTGCCCAGAGCCTGGACCAGATCTGGTGTGGCAAGTAAAACTGTCTCATGTGCCAGGGGTTGCCGACCCTTGTCCCAGAACCTGATGCAGGGAGCAATGTAGACTTGTGGAACCCAAGAATGCAAGAGATCCTGAGGCCCTGCAGTTCTGCAAATCCCACTATTGTATTTGTAATACTATCTGTGACTGTGACCCGGAGCTTCCACTGCCTGGATGGTCATTTGGCACTGAGTGTTTGAGACGCACTGCCTGGCCACTTTTAATGTATGAATAACATGTATAAAATAATGTAGTGTCCATTAAACACTGTTGGCTGAATTGAGGTCTTGTCTGTATAGACTTCTCTAGTGCTGGCAGGAGGCAATGACAATGTGGGGTAAGGTCCAGGAAAGACATGTTAAGGGGGGCTGGGGTGGGGGAGGGGAAGAGTTGATGAGAGCTGGAGCTGAGGATGGGGGAGGGTGGTAAATCCTTAGCTGGGTGCTGAGCACAGCTCTGGAGCTGTGGTAGGGGAAGTGAGGTGATATGAAGGTTCATACTAATCTGCAGTGAGGCCACACATGCTGGTGCGCTATTGGGTTTCTGTAGGGGAATGGGCTGGGGTATTAGCTTAAGCAGCAGAAGTTGATGCCTCCCTACCCAGGACAAGATGGTATGTTCTCTTATTAAAAGCCCCCTCCCTGAAGCCCTTCTGGTTTCTGCTAATTTAGATCCCTACTTTAGAGCAGTAGGTTAATGGAAACTTTTTCTGCAGCTGCTGCTACTTCAGACAGTGTTAGCCTGGAGTCAAGCAGAAAATAGGGTGGACTAACCCAGTGGTGCCCAAACTGTTTGCTCTGCAGACCAGATGAGCAGTGCCAGCCAGGTTCCTTCATGGGCCAGATACTACCACTGGGCCTGACCAGCCTGCAGGTGGGTTGAGCAGCCCAACCTTCATCTGTCTGCGTGGGGTGGGACACAGTAGGCCCGAACTGGATGGATGAGAGGAGAGGCAGGTGGAGGAGTGCCTCCAGTCCAGATGTGTGGGTTGCAGCCTGGTGTCAATCAGCCCCAATCCCAGTCCTCATCCCAAAGTGTAGTGGAAGGGGTGGGGCAAGGCAGCCCTAATCTCGGCACACGTGCTGGGGAGAGGCGTGGGGAGCAGCACAGCCCGTCTGGAGTGGCCCTGGTCCAGCCATACAGAGTGGGGCAGTAAGGGGAGCAGCCTGGCCAGATCTGGACTTGCTGGGGGGGCAGCCCGGCCCTGATCCCCCTTTGCTGGAACGGTCTGGAGGAGGCTGGAGCCAGTCGTGGTGCTTTCCACAGCTTCCCACTGCCAAGTTTCCCATCCTCTGGGCAACCCCTGTAGGCTAGATGTCCCGGCTCCGCGGGCCAGGTTTGGGCTGCAGGCTGAGCACCCTGGACTCGCCAACGCGTCTGTTTTCTGTATCCGTTGTGACCAAAGCGTATGTTGAGTCTGTCAGCGGATGAAGTGAGCTGTAGCCCGGGAAAGCTCATACCAGATACCGGCGGCGGAGGAAGAAGCCGCTTCCCCCTCCGGGCGAGCGGGGCTGCGGGGCGCCCCTGGGCTGGCGGGACAGAGCGCAGCACGTACTAGGCCATCCCCGCTCTAGGCAGCCCAACCCTCGCTCTCCGCGCATGCGCAGGCAGGAAGCGGGCTATGTCACCGGAAGCCGGGTGAAAGGCGCTGGGCCTCTTGTTCCTTCCTTTTCCGGTCGGGGAGCCATCGCAGCCGGAGTGTCGGTGCGTAAGAGCCAGCGTGAGGATCCGCTGCCATCCGCTGGCGCGGGGGAGTGGGCGCGCGGGCGGCCGGGCGCGCGCTCGCTGGCGGAGGGCTGGGAGAGGGGCCTGCGGGGCGGGCTCCCGCCGCCCCTGAAACCTCTCTGTGTCTGTCTCCCTGGCAGAGATGGGGAAGTTTATGAAGCCGGGGAAGGTGGTGCTGGTCCTGGCCGGGCGCTATTCGGGGCGCAAAGCCGTCATCGTGAAGGTAACGTTGTTGTGGGCGCTGCTGGGAACGGGGCGGGGGGACCTGGGCCGCTGCTTCTGCCCCGTGGCAGTGGCATGACACAGGCACGGGTCTGAAGGATTATAGTGCACCTGCTGCTGTTGCTAAGAGCTGCTTCTGTGCTGCCTGTGTTGGCCTCCCTCCCATTAGAGGTGCGTGGTGCTGGGGGTGCCAGTGAGATCCAGCTCTTGCTGCTTGGTTCCATTGCTCTGGGTGTGTGTAAATCAGTGTCTCTGGGCCCCGGTTCTTACATATTTTAAACAAGCTTTATGAGGCTTAGACCATGTTTGTATGATGCAGGTCGTGGAGGTGATGATGATATATCTGCCTTCTTTAACTAAGACCTTCTGGAAATATGGCAGTTTTATGTAGCCTTATGAAAGGCTGAGAACAGAAATGTTTATTTCTCAGAGCTAATGTTCTTTGGCAGGGCCTTATGTTGTTAATTGATGGTAAAAGATTTAATGGGGGTTGCTTGCTTGTAGAAGAGAAACATGAATGTTTCTGGAATATTGTGAGCTCTTCTGCTCGCACTCTTACCTGTTTGTATAATACATTTTCTGTTGCATTGTCTGCTTTAGTATTTGACTGATGAACTCCTAGAATCCTGAACTCTTGTTTATGCATCTGCTTCATTCAGAATATCGATGATGGCACCTCAGACCGACCCTACAGTCATGCCCTCGTGGCTGGTATTGATCGGTATCCACGGAAGGTAACCACTGCAATGGGCAAGAAAAAGATAGCAAAGAGATCCAAGATCAAATCTTTTGTGAAGGTGTACAACTACAACCACCTCATGCCTACCAGGTGAGCTGGCAGAAAGAGCTTACTGGGCTGTTCCTGATGGAACAAGTACATTGGCTTCCTTCATCATAGCAAAAGTTACTTTTCTTGTTGGTAAAACCCAGAAACCTGGGCTTCTTCCTGAGTTGTGTGTCAGTGTGGCTGAATGTTTGGTGCTAGAAAATGACTTGGTGTTGGAAAATGATTTGTAGCCAGCTACGAATAGTATCTGGGATTCCAAAGCTGCAGTGAAATGTTAATGATATCCCGATTTCTTTCTCATTGGGATTTAGACCAGTGCCATCTCTTGTGCACAGTGGCTGAGCTATTCTTACAACTCTTCCGGTAGTGGTTTATATTTGAGCTTCTTTGGCTGAAAGGGGGACAGTTTCCCTTCTGTGAGCTGCAAAGGAGATTTGAAATAATTCCTGTTGGAGGGAAATTCATGGATTGGAGCAGAACTACATAATGCTGTTGTATTCTCTCCCTTCTCTGTTGCTGTTTCCTGCTAAATGTGGAGTGTTAGGCAGAACAGAAGTATTCACTGTACTCAGAGATGCATATTGGGGCCTATGGCCTCAGGATCTCTGGAGTGGCATGACACCAGCCCAAGTCCTTGGATTTATTTTAATTGTCACTGTTATCTAGTTTTCATTTAGTTATTTGCACACTACTTCTCTGCCTGGTATGTGGGCATCAGCGTGTCTTGGATGTTTCATGGCTTACTCTTGCCTTGTTCAGGTATTCCGTTGATATTCCTCTGGACAAAACTGTTGTCAATAAGGATGTGTTCCGGGACCCTGCACTGAAACGCAAAGCACGACGTGAAGCCAAGGTGAAATTTGAGGAAAGGTGAGTTGGAAGCTTCTTTCTTTGCCCCCAGCTGACTTTAACATAGAGTAGTCATTCTTTTGACATTGTTGAGTGATTCAGGCAGACATAAGCCTGCAGCCAGGACTTTTTGCTTATTTTCAGATTAAATGTTAGGCTTGATAAGTATTGGCTGGAAGACACAAAGAGCATGTAGAGTTTAGTACAGTTTAATGGTGATATAATGCCAGTATGCTGGCTGCACCCCAAATCATACACTTGTACCCTTCCATTCCTCACCTAAATTGTCCCCATCTTCAGTTGGGTCATTGTTATTTTTCACTTTGATCCTAGTGTCCAGTGTCATTCCCATTCCCCATACGCATGGGAGTTGAACTCTCTCTAGGGCTTGTGGATCCCTAAGGATTGCACAGTGCTCTATGATGGAAAGTACTGTGTTGATAGGATTTGAATACTGCACTTTTGGAAGAACCTGTGATCATATGGGTGACCTAGACCCAGCATAGGGTGAGGAGTAAGTGGAATCATAAAGGGGCTGTTGCATTTTGCTGACAATTGACTCATCACATTCTGGTCCATTTGGCTGGATTTCCCTTTGTATATGTAAATTCAGGGCGCCCAGGCTGTGCTGGCAGCAGTTGGCACTCCATAGTTCATTGTTCTTCTGAGTGACCTATATATGAGCTCCAAGTCGGAAAAAGAAACAGTCCAGAAACTGCTGAGGGTTGGTGCTCTCAGCCATGGTGCTTCTAGCTCTGGGTACTTCCTGTGGTGGTTTTCTAGTTGGGAATACCTTGTTGACAACAGGTTAACTCAGGCCTGCAATTTTTTATTAACATTAGGAGACAAATATTGAATGTTGTACTTTAACAGAGCTACTCCCCCACTTGATTAAGATGGTGTCTGTGGGGTGTGGCATTTTCATGTTGCTTGAGGAACTGCCCATGAGGACTATGTTGTGAAGTCAGGAGTGTGGGACTACTAGGAGCTCTGCTGTGGGCTCCTGGTGCATTGCATATAAGGACAGACTCTCATAAAAGGGTGCAACTGCAGCAGGCAAAGGGTAAAGCCACCCATTTTGAGCCACCTCCCAAAGCAGAGGGATGGGGTATGGCTTGCTCGTGACAGTTTGTTGGAGTAAAATGTTACCTGATGTGTGGATTGCTTCTCTCTTTCAGATACAAGACAGGCAAGAATAAGTGGTTTTTCCAGAAGCTACGATTCTAAATTTTGAATGGCTGCATCAATAAATGTTTATTAAAAACCATTTTGTTGCCTTGTAAGATGTTTTCAGTCTACTGAGCACTTGACTGCATGGAAACTTCCCTTGCTTTATGCTTCAAACTAAAAGCTGAGAGAGTAATTAGCCCTCCAGCTGGGAGGCTTTATTGGCTATTAAATGGAACTGAATACTACCCCAGGACACTTCAGAGTATTCCCTGCTCTTCCCATGCAGTGTTGATGGAAAAAGGAAGTGGCTTTAGCTTTCCAAAAGCAGGGTCACTTGAGGGAGATTCTGAGAAAGTAGGGTAAAAATGGAAAGGTGGTTCCAGCAAACAAAGGTATTTTACATGGGCAAAAAGAAGAAAAGGAATAAAGTCTTGATGCTTCTTTTTGCTGGCTTTGGTTTTCTGGAAAATTGTGTAACTTGTTCAAAGCAAGTGTGGCTGTTACTGTAAATGTTCTTGATCACTTTTGTAAGTTTGTTCCTCTTGGGGGGCGGTGGCGGCGGCAACCTTGTCCTGTCTAAATAGTCTCCACTGACATGCAGCTGACCTTTCTCTGGGGAGCAGAAGATAAATTTAGAATCTTAAATCATGGGCATTGCTTAAAGATCAGGGAGAAAGTAGTCAATTACTGACTTCTGAATTGTAAATGAAGCAAATGTGTGCAGCAGGGCTGTGCGAAATTTCACCCGGTGTTTTGTTTCGAAGCTGTTCAGCTGCATTTAGAGCTTGAAACAGCACAATCAAAATGAAACAAAAGGCTTTGAAACAAAATGAGGGCACTCAAAACGTTTTGAAACATTTCAAAGCCAGGCTTACTTGGCTTTAATGCTGGTCCTAGGTAGCTGCCTCAACTGGTGCAGAGCTGGCGGCCGACACCCCTGGGAGGAGTCCAGGCGGGTTGAGAGGAGACTGCTGCTGCCAGCAAGTGCCACAACTTTTGCTTTGAATAGTTTGAGGTGTAATTTCCCAGATGCCTCTACACTTCTCTCCTTGAAACTTGGCAGGCTTCATGTCCTCAGAAGGGGCTACTATCCCAGCAATTTGCATCCAAATCAGGCAAGAAATGACAAAGTTTTACACATTTTTATGATTCCCCATTATAGCCTATGGATGAAATGTCAAAACAGTGAAACAATTTCAACTAAACAAAACGGAACAGCGCTTCAAAATGAAACGACAAAATGAAATGTCCCTTTGAAATGGTGAAAGGCAACTTGAAATGAAACTGCTGATTTGTGCAGCTCCTAGGCAAATTATAGCCTATGGATGAAATGTCAAAACAGTGAAACAATTTCAACTAAACAAAACGGAACAGCGCTTCAAAATGAAACGACAAAATGAAATGTCCCTTTGAAATGGTGAAAGGCAACTTGAAATGAAACTGCTGATTTGTGCAGCTCCTAGGCAACTGGTAGGGAGACATTCCCCCCCCCCCGAAGATTGGCTGACAATAACAGTGGCTTCTGC